CTGTTAAGCTGCTGACCAAATATGAAGTCATTCTGTTGAGTAACAGTACCTGAGAAAGGTGTTTTAGAAATAATTGTTGGACTATTAGAACAGATGGATGGGTGTACATGCCTACATGGTGAACGATTGATGGAAAAAAAGAATCAATGCTTCTGTTGCTACTGCAGCTAGTTTTGAAACATTATACAGCAAATGTTACATGTTTTTGCCACACAAAATTTAAGCAAAGGGACGATTGTCTTAGGAACCAAAATGATCGTCCCCAACCAAAATGATCGACCCCAACCAAAATGATCTTCCACAATTGAAACAATCGTCCCCAACCAAAATAATCGTCCACAACCAAAACGATCATTCCCAACCAAAATGAAAGCTCCCAACCAAAAGTGATCCTCCCCAACCAAAATGATCGTCCCTGACCAAAATAATCATCCCCAACCAAAACGATTGTTCCCTAAATAAAACGATTGTCCCCAATCAAAATGATGGTGCCCAACCAAAAATGAATTATATTGGAATGACATTATTACACTGATTTCAAGGTGTTATCAAGGTCATTCATTAAATTCTTATATAATCTATTTATTATTAACAAATTAGTAGACCAAAGAATCAGAACAAAAGAAGGCTCCTTGAACTTGTCAGTAAAATCACTTGTATTATTTTTCATATAAACAATGGCAAGTTAATCTGTCACAGTAAAAAAGGTTGTGGTACAGATGAGTAAAGGGGATGGTGAAAAGAGGGGAAAAGGGGCTGGGAACAATGAAAAATGTCTTAATTGTATAGTATTTGTTTCATATGAGCACTAGCACATTTATTTTTACTGTACACAGCTACAAAAGCAAATCTAACAACAACAATTCTACTAAATTTAAAAGATTCTATCAATCTCAGGTAACTATAGTCAATATAACCATTTTTTTATGATCAATGATAATTTCATAATGAAAAGTTTTACATTCAGTTTGTAAACCAAAATATGCTTATACAAATTCCTCAACTAACAGGTGGTTTTAAATATTTGGTGCATTTTAAAAATTATTCATTTATGGTAGCCAAAAAGGCCAGACCATATCTGATGCTATAGAAGGCTCACACGACCTAGATCTACACACGAGGAAACTGCCTCAAATACAAGTGGAAGTCTTATGTCACTTTTATATTCCTCCTTTTACTGGGAACACCACTATGACAGGTCTTACTTCTTTTATATAGTAGTTCAAATCATTAATGAGTACTCAATACTTAGTGCGTACTGCCAGACACTGCCTGATACACGTTTTATTCTCTTTGTCACTTTCATATTTAATACAAAACTATTCTTATCTTTATAACAAGTCAGGGTACAACAGAACATGTGACAAGAGAGTATTTTAAAGACCTTGGTAAGTGTCATTTTATTATAGATCTAATTTAAGATATGTCTATTGTTTGTGTCTGTCTGTGGTTCATTAACCAAATGGCCTATACACATGCATTGCATGGTACTACAACAATACCACAATACAACAATACACTATTGTTCATTTCTACTCTATTTCTCCTCAATTAGTTTAATTATGTCAAAAATGTGCTGATTAGGTCACAATGTTTCTTTTTTAGGCCTGTTATAAAATAAAGGTAGTCTGGTTAACTAAGCTTGACAAAGTCTATGCAAGGTTGTCATAATAGATTTTTTTAATTTTGTCACTCAAGAACAAATATTACCTTAATAATGTTCTAAATTAACATGAATAAATATAATTTTTGTCACCTAAATTTTCATACCAACCATAGGCAAGAACAAGGTGTGGGTGACCTTATTCAACCTTCAAAACAACAGACAGACATAATACCAAGTTTTAGCCTGATATACTACAGTACATCGATTCTTCAAGGAGTTTGAGTTCATTTGCAGTAAAATAATATAAATATTTGCGATAAAGGTCATTTATTCAAAATACCATAAAATCATAATAATCTGAATTACATAATCATAATAATCTGGATTACATAATCATGATAATCTGGATTACATAATCATGATAATCAATTTAAGCAATAATAAAAAATCTGATTAAATGACAAAAAATTTGCAAAGGTAGCAAATAAAAACCGCCAAACTCCTCGCGATGGAAAAATTTAATTTGTGGAGACCGCCACCCATTATCTTACTTTAAAAAAGAATCTAGACAACTTTACAAATATGAATGGTTCTGAAGCAAAATTATTGAGTTTAGCTACAGGTTAATTCTCTGGCACTATGAGGGCACATTCTCCTTTAACAAAGCTTGTAAATACTCTTTGTTTAAGCATTCATGTAAAGGGTGCCAGAGGAGACACTGTGAATGTCCTAATGCCTTATGGCCTCAAGGTTATGTAGAAAATGATCAAGATTTCTGCACATTGGACCCATTCAGGACAAGACAGAGACAATGTAGATGTCCTCTCACCTTAAGACATCAACATCATGAAGAAAGTTATAAACATTTCTGCACATATGGTTTGATCCATTATAAATGTCCTAATGGCTTGAGAGCAAAAATATTATGAAGAAAGATTTCTGCACTTATAGTAGGGCCCATTCAGGACTAGCAGAGGCAGATGTCCTCATGCCTTATTATGACACTAACATAAGAAAGAGAGTTATACAGATTCATGTACAGAGACAATGTAAATGTTTATCATGCCTTACAGTTCCAAAATTATGAAGGAAATTATAAATATTTCTGCACAAATGGTTGGGCTCATTCCTGACCATGCAGGGCTTTATTCTTCCATATTTCTTTTTTTTGAAAAAAAAAATCCTGCTGTTATTCCAAAAAATCAGATCTATATAAGCTAGCTGCAGTGTCTTTGTCAAATATCCTGGGAAATTGTGTTTTAACATTTTAACAGAGTTTTTCATCTTTTTTAAACTTATTTGCATTTGTATTACCTGGGAAACTTTGTTTTCTTACTTTTTTCACTGGTTAATGTTATGATTGTCTAAGATCGAGGCAAACACTACATAAATATAATTGTTTTCAAAAGTTATTTACTTTTAACATTGAGTTGTTTGAATTGTTGTAAAATCTACAAAAGTATAGATTACAAACACTTACAAGATTAAACACGTTTTTTATACTGTCAATTCATTGATTTTCATCTGAAACAAATTTTGTGATTTTTTTGGGGTGTGTGTTGGGGGTGGGGGGACCTAAAATTAATCATTTTAGTGAATTTAAAGGAACAAATGTTGAGACTTGAATGAATAAGAAATTCTTAAAATTTTTCATCTCCACAAAAACTAAATACCAATGGTTTTAAATCATTCTAAATCCAGTTTATTCAATTATAATAGCATTAACATTTTTAAAATAGGTAATGTACTACTGTATTGATCCATGTCATAAGGACTATTATAGGTAATGTACTACTGTATTGATCCCATGTCATAAGGACTATTATAGGTAATGTACTACTGTATTGATCCCATGTCATAAGGACTATTATAGGTAATGTACTATTGTATTGATCCATGTCATAAGGACTATTATTGCAGACATATAAAGGGAAATCATTTCCTATATCACATAGGGTAAGCAATGTTCAGAAAGTCACTAGAGTTATCTCCCATATATTTGATTATATAGCAGGAAAGATAACTCTTCTTTTCATTTTTTTGTCTGAATATTGCTCCATAACTCCAATGATTACTCAATATTGCTTCATTATTGTAATAATTACCAGTGGCTGATCCAGGATAGAGCATAGAAGACGTATACATCCTTTTGATAGCCAAACTTTTTTGTTAAATATCATGTTCCTAACTATTTATATGATTTTCAGCATAAAATAGTCCAAAACTTTATCATACACAGTCTAGCTAGGTATACAATATTAATTACAATTATGATTAGTATTCCGTCCCTGATTAGGTTACAGCCTTGAAATAGACTTCTCCATAGGCTTACATGCAAAACACCTGATCTTTGAAGATTTAAAAAAAAAATGCTACACAGAAAAATGTTTTCATGCACATATCATGTATGTAGTAATGTGAAATTGTGATTTAACCCGGAAAAAAAGTTGGTCATGCCACCAAGAATAAACAATTATGAAACCCTGAAGTCAAAACTACTTGTTTCTACTTTATGTTTGCTGTTTTCTATGTTAAATTCAACAATTTCAGGCATTCATAGCCATTTTGTCTCAAGTTTAAAAAAGTGACAGTCATTTCATGTAAAAAAAAACAACTTTAGCCTGGCTTGTACTTACCCAAACATTTCACAGCTATGCGTATAAACTATTTTGTGTGTAATATGTAATTCTTTCTTTTAATTTTCTTCGTGACCCCGCCAAGTTCTAACACATCAAGTATTGCTACATTACTCCAATATTACTCACTTAGTTTTGCTAAATTACTCCAATGTGACCAAGAAAACTGTTTTGTGTCTGACATTATGACTTTAGAACTTGTCTTCAGTTTAAAGAACTAAGATTTATAGAAATCATTGACAATCAATATAACATTCCTGGTGTATCATGTTGCTTCACAGATTGATGAAATATGAATGAAATGACAGACAAAGGACACAAATCAATGAAAGCTAAGACATTTGACTTCATAATTTGAAACAACCACTAAAAAGAGGAAATGTTTCAATATAGCTTTTTTGTGGGCTGATGTGATTTACAGCAATTATCAATCAGTCATAGAGAAAGGTAAATATCAATAAAACTTAAGATACTAGCCTAAAACATATGTCTTTTTGTCTTCATACAAAACATTGAGGAGAAATGGAGATCATTGGTTCTCGAGGCTCAGGGTTGAGGTATGATATGGTACTTACTGTGTACTTGAAAAAACAGAAGTTCTCTAGGCTCAAAGTTGAGGTCTGATATGGTACTTACTATGTACATGAAAGAACAGTGCTTCCAGAGGCTCAGAATTGAGGGATGATATGATACTTACTGTGTACATGAAACAACATTGGTTCTCGAGGCTCAGGTTTGAGGTCTGATATGGTACTTACTGTGTACATGAAAGAACAGGGGTTCTGGAGGTAGATCATTAAACCATTGGAATCTTGGTGTTGCAAACAATGGACCACAATCACTCGGCCAGAATGGTCCATCTTGGTCCCTTTCAACTCCATAACGGTCCTTATATTTCCCATTCTCATTTCTGAAATTATTGCCTTGCCCATTTAAATTGGCAAGAAAACCATGTTTAGTATAAAACTGTCTCTGAATCTGTGTTAATGAAGGATACTTGTCAAAACTCTGACGTAGGTCCTTAACTCCTTCAGATAGACTAGATAGACCAAAGACTCCAGGAAAGTCAGCTTGATTGGATCGTGAGAGTGTGTCCTGGAACACGTAATCTACAGGTGGAGTAGGCTGTATATAATTCATTCTCATTAACCTTTGGACTTGTCTCTTAGCCTGTAAAGCTCGCCATTTTCTGGATTTTAGAACATCACGATTGGTACCGGCTAATCCAAACACGATATGAGAATTAAGTTCATTTAAAGTCTGACTAGATTTACGGTCTTGTCTGTTGATATCTGTCTTCTTAGCACGTTCTAGGGGTGGAGTCTCCAGGGCCTCTCTCACACGCTGTTCTAACTCCTCCTCCATCTGTTGTCTTATTGATTCCCGCCATGATGGGGTTGGATCTGAAAAAAAACAAATATAAGACATATTATCTTCATGAATATGATGGAAATTAGCAGAACAATGCAATGTAAACATAATTTATCAACAATATAGTTGGACTGGATCTGAAAAGAACAAATATTAACATATCATCATATAAAGGGAATGTTAACTCTGTGTCCATGTACTTGTTCTTTCAGACAAAAGTTAAAAAAAAGGTTTAAATGCTTGAGATCCAATTTCTAAATTAAGCTCCAAGTAATATCAAAGAACTTAATTGTTCATGATACAACTTTGCCATCAACAACAGTATCTAAATTTTATAACCAGGCTTTCTAAATTCTAAGGACCCTGATTTGATGTCAGTGTATTTCCTGCAAATTTCAAATGAATATCATTAACAATGTTGTGAAAAACAGCACATTAAATTATTGTTATTGTGTTGTCCTGTTATATTGTAGCATTGACCATTTCTATAGGTAAAATATCTGATTGCTGCTTCAATCAATTGAACATGGCCTCTACAATACTGTATTCCAGAATTGTCAACAATACTTGTACATAAATCTTGTTCAAGCATTGTAAAAACAAGAATGTGTCCATATAGTACACGGATGCCCCACTCCCACTATCATTTTCTATGTTCAGTGGACCGTGAAATTGGAGTCAAAACTCTTAATTTGGCATTAAAATTAGAAAAATCATATCATAGGGAACATGTGTACTAAGTTTCAAGTTGATTGGACTTCAACTTCATCAAAAACTATCTTGACCAAAAATTGTAACCTGAAGCGGACCAGACAGACTGACAGACAAAAGGACGAACGAACCCACAGACCGAAAAACATAATGCCACTAGGGGTTATAATTCATTGATGTGACCATGTGACCATGTGTTTTATTAATAACTTTTAATTCAGTACAGGATTTGTAGAGATAATGGCATCATTTCTTTGGCTTATAATATTGCACAAAAGAACATAGACAAAGCAGATATTAATTATAAATCTGCCACAACAACAGGACACAGATAACAAAAGATGGAAACTGTGCGGCTAATTAAAACATTATTCATTTATTCCTGATAACAAAATCATACTTTATAATAACAGAGGTGGATTCAGGAGGGGGTGCCAGGAGGGACACCCCTCCCCCCCTTTATGAAGCTACATATATGGTTAATACATAGAACTTTTTACTTGTTCCACTATTGACATTGCCTAGTTTGGGAGTCCTTGAACTTTCATGTAGGTTTTTTTTCATTGAAGTAATGTTACTTATTTTGAATGTTTGGATAGAATCAGGGTAATGCATATTTTGGATGTTTAGATAGAATAGTGGTCTTAAACTAATGCAAATTTTGAATGCTAAGGTTGAATAGTGGTTTTGGAGTAATGATCTAAATGTTTGATGTTTAGCTAGAGTTATGGGCCCTGGAGTAATGTTCTAAATGTTTGATGTTTAGCTAGAGTTATGGGCCCTGGAGTAATGTAAACTCAATCACTGTGGCTTAATTTATTTTCATTGGTATAAATTTTTGTGGTTTGAGAAAAATTAGTTTTTTTGAGAGCCTTTTATTGTAATGGTTTCAACATCTACTACATGAATATAAAATTAATCCTGAAATAAGTCATAATGATCACTCAGTTCAAGTTATGGTATCTTACCGTTTCAACAAACGTATCAGCATAAAAAAATCCTAATACATATAGCTAAAATATCCAAACTAAATAAAACCAATTAAGATTGTTGTTATTTCATCCAATTATGAATTCATAATCTATACAGGTGTAATATAACTAACTAAAGTCAATACTACCATCGCCTATTTATTGACCATTTTCTTTATAAAGCAAAAAACAATTCTGTATTGTAATATTAATCCATTAATCTCTTATAAATCCTCAATTGATTGATTAGACGTCATTTCACAAATCAGATTTATTAAATATTCTGTCAATACCTTATGAGAGAAATTAATTTGTGGTAAATCAAAATAATACTTTATTCATGTCGTGCGTCCGAAGTGTTTTTCTGGATTTACCGTCATCAAGAATACTCAAACCCAAAATATTTGACAACCAACGATGTAGAAGACCTAAATAAATGAAGAGCTATAGGACTAAAAGGGACCTTCAAAACAAGTGAAACTGCGAGCTACTGCTCACTGATGATACCCCCAGCCCAAATATGCATTTGTTGTTGAGTGATGAATCTGAAAAAGAATCACACGGTATAGCTGACTTATATAAACCCTGAAACAAAATTTCAGAAATCCTTATGGTGTAGTTCCTGAGAAAGATGCGACGAACAATATTCATGGGACAGACAGACGGACGGATAGATGGACAGATGGACTGACGGACTGATGGATGGACGGACAGACAGAGGTAAAACCGTATACCCCCACGGGGGTATAATTAGTCATGTTCATCTACCATCAACTTTACCTGAGGGAGTTAGAACCTGAATTTCTTAATAATTCCTTAAAAAAAATTTAAGAAAAATTTGTTAAATTACAAAGATATGATTTATTTTCTAGTCCTGTTCAGATTTATGTTTCCTTGGTAGCCTTTATAGCTAGGCTGGTACTGGAATGGTTTTAACAACAATTTTTATTGTTGATTTTGACATTTTCTCAATAAGATGATTTTACTGATATTAAGATTTTATTTCCTGTACAATCACTAAATCTTGTTAACACTGTTTACACATTCAAAAGTCCTTACAATCACTTGTAATTGGATGGTGCGCCGACTGCACACAATCCGTTCTTTTTTTTAAATAAAACTTGTTATGAAAGTAAAATAACACCTGGCTAACAAATGTTGACACATCGTGAAACGACTGTAAAAAAAACTTAAATTAATCTATGGAAATTAATGTAACTAAGTTTTCTTTACTTTGGTGGAATTACTACACAAATTTAAATTTCAATTCCATATTGCAGATTGATCAGCTATTGCTCGATTGTACTGATGAGGTTAACTCTTAGTTTGATATTTGGTTATTTGGAACGGCGCTTTCATATTTCGATAAGTAAGGCTTGTCAAATATTTTATTCCTAGGTGCCAGTTTTTTACAAACAGCTGCATCCATTATGAGGCAAATCCAAGCAGAACTTACTATTAAGGGCCCTTCCCTATTAGCCTCGTCTTAATGGTCCATATATGTAGCCCTGTGTGCTTAAAGTATATATTCACTTTACTTTCTTTATATGACGTATACAGTAACTTCTTTTGAAGTTTCCTCAATAGATTATTATGTGCATGAATTATAAAATTTTACACATTTAAATATTAGAAAGGTCTTGGTAATCAAATAGTTTACTAGAACCTACGGAAGCGTAGCTATAATCCGACAACCCGAAATTCCGACAGTTCAGTAGTCAGACGGTCCGATATACACCCCTAAAGTTATATTGTAATACTGTATTTCACTGTATTATATACATCAGGGTCTTATAAAAGAGTCTAATACAGATTCAGGATGAAAATAAACGTGACCTCTGTTTTGGGGTGGTGGGGAGGGGAGCTGGCAAAACACTAAATTAAGCTTGTAAAACATAACTAATCATCGCTTTGAATTTACACGTTGGGAGTCTTTTGTGGTTAAATGGCATTCATTTATTTTAAGCACGGGCTGGAGCATGATGTTATACTATGCATACCAGTAGTTTTATGTCGAGCTAACTTTCTGCAAAAGAAATTGGAATCAAACACCTAATAACTATATGATTACATGGGCCGTGAAAGTTCAAAACTTCTTAAGCCCATATTCTAATCCCAAAGTTAAGTCTACATATGGCCCAACGCATCGATAGCATATAGCACAATTCATGAGGAGACAAAAATAATACAAAAACATCACTCAATCATCAAACGTTATATGTCTATAGGTATATTTTTTTCAGCAGAGACAAGAAAACGTGATGTCGTATATCCAAATTTTCAAATCATATATGAATTATTGGGAGATAACTCCAGTAAACCTTCTGAATATTGGTGTATGTAATAAAATTAGTATCAATATATCTAGATGTTGATCAATGCATGGGAGATAACTCCAGTAAACCTTCTGAGTTGGTGTATGTAATAAAACTAGTATCAATATTATTAAGATGTTGATCAAGGCATGGGAGATAACTCAAGGATTTTTAGGTCTGAAATTATTTTTTTTAAATATTGTATTCTAATTGTGTAGCTTTGAATTTACAAGATATTCACACTGAGGCCAAAAGATATATACATTTGGATTTTGTGGTTTCTGACAGGATTTTAAAAACATAAAAGTACAGAAGACCAAAACAAAATGTCCATGAGATTAAAATACATATTTGTCCTTGAATCTAATCATTTTACAGCAGTTTTCAAATGAACACAGTAATAAAACCATGATCTTTTTAAAAATGTTTCATACAATAAAAAAATTTGGATGCCAACAGAATCTACTATTTTTTAGAGTTTGTAATAAGAACCACATAAACATTTTACTTGGCCTGATTATATAACACTAGAATTATTTAACTTTAAAATTTAAAATTCAAATTTTTTTTTATTCTTGGCACATTTATATATCATACCAAGATCATATCTAAATACACATCACTTATCTTATAAATTACAGGGATATGTGTCTCAAACAATAGAATTTAATCTTTTTTCTCAAACATAATATATATTATTTGATATAAAATGATCTTTGGAGATGATTAATTATCACTATATTTGTGAAATGAGTTAAAATACAGGGAACACATTTTCTTATACAGTACAGTACATGAAACAGTAGATTAACAAAAGCAATCTTATAAGTAGTTAAAAAATGGCCTTAATTGTTATTGGCTTTGAAGTTTGAACTAGCTTTCAGTATCTGCCAGTACTCTCAGATCTGTATATGTTGTGTCTTTTGTGATTTTGTTATTTTTTTTCGTACTTTGTATCAATTTGATGAGTTAAGCCCTTTTCAACTGATTTATATAGTTTGTTCTAATGTTGTGCTGTTAAACCACTGTCCCAGA